CCCCCCAACACCAAACAGATCCCAGTTCCCCGCGCCCCCCCTTCCCCCTCCACTCTCCAACTCTGCGTAGGAAAGAAACTTACAAAGAAAAGGTCACCTGGCCTGGGGCCAGCTTCAATTTGGAAGCTCGAGCTCCAGATCCGAGCGCTCCTATCCGAGTAGGGAAGGGAGGAGCAAGGCGCAGCCCAATCGCTAAATCAAGGCACAGACAGAGACCCAATTCGCTCCATTTACACAGAAAATACATGTGTTTACGTATCTATTTGGGAAAAGAGGAAGGGGAAGCGGCAGCAGAAGAAAGCCAAGAGCTGCTTTTTAGTCAAATGCGCCTTCGCTCCTGAGCCGTCTAGTTTCACTGCTAGAGCAATCCAGGTATTGAAAAGCCTGGCACAGGTGCCCGGGGTGCGAGGCAGGGAGGGAGGAGGCGGCGGGCAGGAGGCAGAGCGCAGGCAGGTCCAGCCCAGGTAGAAAGGAGTTAGGTGAGAAAAGGGTGTGGTGATATGTGGGCAAAATAAATAAGCAAACAAACGCAGCCACGCTGTCAGGTGGGAACACTGCCCCTGTCCAAAGCACTCGGAGAGGGCAGTTTTTTCGGAAGCTGTGCTAAGCCCCCCAAAATCACCACGAATATACCCAAAGTGCCTCAGGGAAACTTGTCTGATCTGGGGTCTGATGAAATCTGCTCATGCTCTCAAAATGTCTAAGGTTCTGTAATTATCCACTGCCTGTCTTGGGTGCATACATGTAGAATGGACTGTGTCCTTGTACACATGTACACACATACACACTCTCACACACATATGTCTATATGACGTGTGCACCTTCAAAGAATTTCTCTGGAAATCTCTCAAGCGGTTTCAATATAGCAGTGATGAATGGACCTCTCTTCTTAAGCTCCATCCCCCTGCATTCACCCACCAGCCTCCCAAAATCTAAATGGAGGGATGAAGAGCTGGGGGGGAGGGGGTAGGTAAAGGGGAGAGGGACACGACTCATTTCTGTAGATTCTTTGTGAAATCATTGCCCAGACTTTGCATTTATTGAGAGGATTTGTCTCGGCACTACTCTGGTTACTTTGGGCAAGCACTTGATTTTTAATG